CAGCCAGTCCTCGAACTACTTCAAGGGAAGATTGAAGTGCATTATTTTCTTTTAGAAAGGCTCTTACCATTTCAGTTTGTTTCGTGAGGACAAAAGGCCAACGCCTTTGAAAATCCTATTGGTTACATATGGGTGCACCATATATACCTGCACTCATATTCTTAATCAGTATCACTATTAAAGTGTTACTGATTAAGTATAAGTAGCATTATTTTAAAGCAAACTGCGAAGTTGTTGGGCGGGCAATAGTATTCAAGTTACACTTCCAGTGGCCGAATGCGATATTTCATCATGCAACTTCGATGAATACCCCAGCAAACTGTAAATCACTTCAGCATTTTCAAAATCCTCTTCCTCGGTAGATCTACCTGGAAGACAATACAACTCATGCGTCAATAACAGTTGTGGTAAAATACCTTCCGTACCCTCGACAGGACAACAGTCCTGAACGGGCTTCTGGGGAGTAATGAGACTTTTCAACAGCCAGATTACCTTTTTAGAAGAAATAAAGGTTGGCTCTTTGTGCACTTAAAGGAGACAGCGAAGCGCTTGTTTGCCACAGTAACGGTATTGCTCCTTGGCAGACCTTGCTTCCGCATATAAATAGTGCTGGTGTGAGTTGCCTATGTAGCGTAGATACACTAACACCATGAAGGCTTTTATTTCTGACAGCTAAATTCCCAAGGTCTGCATTTCCCATACTATAATCGCACTGGGGGATGGGTCCTGCTTCAGCGTGAACGCAACACTACTAAACACCCTCTTCAACATCTAAACGCTAACTTGAGTGGTTTGAAAAGTCTCCTAATTGCCCTTGAAATTATTTTTTTTGTTCCTTTTATTTTAACAAAAAACAGGTATCATGTCGCTGGAGAACGTGACTCGAGAAAGTGTACGTCCTTCAGCATGGCTCTCGAAGGATTTTGTGGTCGTGAAGAGTCTGCCGGGCCTGATCTCTGGTTCCACAACAAAGTCCACAACATGGTGGACGGAAGTATGTGCTGTGTCGGCACAGCCGCCAATGACCCCCTCTTCCTCCTTCATCATGTAATGGTGGATAAAGTCTTCACCGTAAGTTCCTACTCATTGCATAAAAACAACGTCACAGGCTTTCCTCTGTATTGTTTCAAACTAGCTAATTTTCAGCTATTTTTTATGATTTTCTTCGCGGTACCAGCGATGCAATGCTTGCGAGACATGCACCAGATGCATCTTTCTTTTATCATCACTAAATTAGTGTTTGAAAGCTCTGGTTAATTAGGCAACCTTCACTTCCCCTGCTTGGTTCTATCATTCGACGGCATTCTATTGTGCAATCACAATGAATCAACAAGGATAAATCATATGTAACTAGCTTTTTCCTCAACTTAACACGACCTATAGGTGTAGTTAGCATTAACACAGCGCATTTATCCCTCTCTAACTTTACCACATACTTTCCATTGCTTTATCTCACCAGGGCAGCTTTATCCGCTCAACTGTTACCACCCTAGCTAGTCGATCTTTTGAGAGTGGAGGAGAGGTTGGTGAGGTCAGACGCAGAAGTTAGACGAGATCAGATCGGCAACTGAAGGTCTCCTCACCGTTAAAAGAGGCCAGGTTCGTCATGCGGTTCCTCCAGCGTGGTCAATTTCTTTACTTTTTAGCAAAGTAACAACTTTGTTATGACGGAATGACATGGAACCGCATTCCGCATTTCTCTTCGCCAGGAATCATGAACAGATTAACTACTGTAACTTAATTGGCGTCTGGAAGTGGCGTGTATTGATCCTACTGTAGGCACTTGTCGTAAGCCTGCGCCCCCTCGCATGCGTTTACACGCGTGTATCCGTGACAGTCTGGCTCCCGGCCAATCAACTTAGGGGCCGGCTCAGACAGGCCCTCGCTCCTAGAGTTATGACGACTTCCCCATTCTCATTCGGGATGCCAATCTCACGACCCCGGACTTGTCCTCGTCCGGCTTCCCGCTTGCTCCAACCTCTTTCTATCTTTCGGTACGAAAAAAAATACCCTTTCACCTGGCGATCAACTACGCGTCCCACTGAAAATAGAGCCTGAAGTGAATAAGGTCCGTGACTGAAGCTGCCAGGGCAAATGCTTACTGACTTATCCTGATGCCTGGACGAATATAGGTACTTGATCTGTATCTTGAATATTCAACTGAGCAAGGACACAAATGCAGGATGTGCCAGCACCCGAAGATGGGGCATCGCAGACTGATAACACCAGCTAAGCCAGAAATATACGTACCAGTACAACATCTTCATTTGTAAAACCTGTTGATTTTATTATTCACGCCTTTTGTTCATTCATTCGACAGGCTTGGTACGAAAAATACAACCCATCGCTTTCAGAATTACCCCAGCAAGCCGTGCGGCCTGGCCACTGCAGGGATTGCTTCATGCCTGGATTCATCCCACTGGCTCGCAATGCTGACATTTTTACTGACACAAGAAATCTCGGCTACGTCTACGATAACAACCTATTCGGCGTCAGGGCACAAAACGGCAGAGCACCAGTTGCTGCTTAGATGAATAACTCAGGAATAGTTAAACCATCAAGCCAATGCTAGTTATGTAATAACCATTGTAAGATATATCAACGGCTATGACCTTTAGTTTTGCATAGTCTCCAGAACTGTGTGTTCTGGTTCGGACAAAATTTCCCAATACGAGATACAAAAGGCGAAAGAAAATAACCGCAACCAAACGCAATGCATTTAAACTAATTTCATAAAGGCGTTTGCAATCCCCGAAGTCCGAGCAAGATGTCAAAGAGTAAAATTTCTGCCGAGCATTCAAAGACCTATGACGGTCGGATCCTGAAGCCTCGCGGTTAGAGATGTTGCTAAAGTTCACCGGTACTCCACCTACCGTTCCTCACTAGCCCGTCTAATATCGGCTCCTGGTGTATTTTGAAGCCTTTTGTTGCAAGTTGCTTCCTAGTATTGCGCAAATTGGTCCCACT